ATCACCACTATGATGAACAAACATATAATCCAATGGATAATTTGCTAAATCTTTCTTAAAACAATATTTGGCATTGTCTTTCTTGTTTAACTTCAAGTTTTACTTCTAGTGGAGGGGAATTGTTCTCTTTGGCATTATTTGATCTAAATATCTCAGTTTTCATTCTAAACCGTGCAAGAATCATCTAATGAAACTGTTAAATTAAAGAATGCACTTCATTGTGTCAACGCAACAGATAAAACCAAGAGAATCATGTGTAATCATCTATAAACAAAAGGAAATATCGACATCCACCCATGAAGGGAATAAAGTAGGGCCCCAATTATCAATATGAACATTGTCAATAGTTGAAACACTTTTTTATTAATTAGAGAAAATGAATGTCTACAATGTTTTACGAAGTGACAACTTTCACACTCCATATCAAACATCTCGACTGACTTAAACAACTTATGAAACAAAAAATGAAGATAACCAAAAGATAAATACCATAAATAATTATGCCATAGCACAACCTAACTCACAATTTTTCCGTATGCATTACTATTGATGCTCACATAGTGATTTTGATAACTATAAAGTGTATCCAAAAGGTATATTCCATTCACCCCACTACCACTTCCGATCGTCCTCATTGTCCCTATATCCTAAAAAACACAATAATTAAAAATAAAGGTAAACAATGACCCTCTTTCTCTCTTTCTCTCTCTTACGTTTTTTTGTTTGGTGTTAGCTTGGCAACGCAAAGGCAAATCTAATTAAATATTAACTTCGTTTATTTTATTATATTTTATAGTATATTTACAAAAATGATGGCATTATCTCTCATAAACTTGTTAATATATTTTAATACTTTTTTTTTTTGGAAAACCATCTCATGATACCTTTTTTTGAAGGATAAAACAAACTATATTACTCAGGAGAACAAAATACATAGTTTTGTACAGAGGGAAGAAAATAAGGATAATGAGATAATAAAATATGTTCCTCCAAAATGTGTTTACTCCATTTTGCTAGTTCACGCGCAGTAACATTATATTTTTCGTTGATAGCTACAAACTTGAGAGAGTTAAAGAAAGGAAAAAGGTTGGTAGTTGATATGAGAAGTCCCAGAGTATTCCAACTATCTGAGAACCTAAGCAAATTAACATATTGGATTTCTCAATTTGGTGAGCATGAGATATTCCTTGGAATATTGCAAAAGATCATGCTTCTTCTACTTATCTCAAACATTTTCTTCCTCCTACAACTTGTAGACACTCCAATTGAGTATTTAGAATAATAACTCCATAAGAGAAATATGATTGAGTAATTTTTTCTGCATCTGTAAAGATGATACAATCAGTATTAAGATTAATATGTAAACATAATTGTTGAGGAAATATTGGATTTGGAGTAGAATTTGTTGAATTATCCAATATTCAATTTGATTAAAGATAAAATTAGTTTTCCAAATAATCCAAATATTGGAGAGACCATAATCCTTAAAAACTCTTTTCATTTTTCGCAAACCAAATATGGTATAAAGCAATGGCATACCAATTCAGAATTTTCCAAAAATCATATTTATTGGGATTTTTTGTTCAAGATCAATTATGCATTCAATCCAGTTAAGATAAGAAGAAGTGTTTAAAATAATGTTACAAGGAGAAGCAAAAGTATAGATTGAGGAAAAGAACATTATAGGAGCAAGTGATTGATGGATTTTGGATTGGTTTGACAAAAGACACAAGTTTGATATTGATCTTGATTGAGTTATAATTTTGAATGGGAGATAATTACTTATGACACGCCGTACTAAGAGTTGATACCAAGGGGGGCATGAAAGGCGCCATATCCATTTAATACAGGACTTTATATGGTCATTCAAATGAGGCAAGGTATCATGTGTTAAAGTGTTATAAACAACTAAAGTTTAAAATTTACCTGAGAAATATAGTAGTTTGGAGTATGTATGATCCTTTAACAACATCAAATAAGGATTGGATTAAGGGGGCATTCCAATCATCATTCTGTATAAGATCAGTAAAAGTATAATTTAGGATCTCTACAATAATAGGACAATGGATCATTTGAAAAGAGTTATTATGTTGGATCTAATGTACTCGGGAAATTGGACTGGTGGAGTTTACTAAAACAATGAAACCAACCTCATGAAAAAGGGTTTAAATTTTAGGATCAGTGGATTTCCAAAAATAAGAACTGGTTTGTGGAATGAGCCGAGGAAAAAATTCATTCAAATGGATATATTTAGATTTTCAAATCTGAATCCACCATTTATGTTATTCATTAAGGTAACGCCAAGCAAGCTTTTTGAGAAAAACTAGGTTAACTAATTTTATTTATCTAAATCCTAGTCCTCCATGAGTTTTACGTAAGGTTAGTTTAGTTTAGGAACACCAGTGATAAGGATGAGGATTGTAATTTGATTTTTTTTCCACCATAAATTTTTAACAATACGATCCATGGCATAAATGGTTTTTTGAGGTAGTTGTGCTACGATCATAGTATGATTATGAATGGAATGAAGCACATATTGAATAAGAATTCTTTTACCTGCTTGACTGGTGGATGAAGCTTTCCAAGCATTATGTTTATTTCTAAGATTATACAGAAGGAAAGAGAGTTGATTGTGTTTATTTATACCCCGAATTAAAGGAAGCCCTAAGTATTTAGAATTATCATGAAGGTTTTTCATTTGAAGTTGTCTCCTAATCATTATTTGGTGACGAGGATGAGTGCTTTTGCTAAAATAGATTCCAGATTGTTCCAGATTAATTAATTGTTATGAACTTTGTTGGAAGTTATCAAGGATAATTTTGAGATTATCTAACTCCTCTCGATGACTTATCATCAACATAAAGGAGGTGAGAAATAGAGGGAGCTCTAGAGGAAATTTGTATTCCTTGAAGCTGACTTTTATGTTAAACTTTTTGGATCATTCGAGTCAGACATTCCATGGCCAGAACCATCACATGATACTTGACTCTCCCCATCCCTCTCATAAAAAAATTTAATATCTCTTACATTTTTTTTTTCTAAAAATTGACCATCTACTACATGTACTTGATCTCTCTCTCTCCTCCCATACAAAATTTAAAATACTCATTTTTTTTCTCAAAAACCATTTTAATTTTAATATGGGAACCCTTTATATGTTTAAGGAAAAATGATTTTATACTTTAATATGTTTTGTGAGATTACTACTATATCTAAAATGATCATTTTAATAATTTCCGTGTGATTTTACTAGTCTTAGTTTATAAGATGTAATTATTTCAATCTTGACCATTAACTTTTTAATTTATTTGCAACTAGGTAGGTTCAGGGCAAGGGTCATATTCCCTATTCCCCTCCCTAACTTTGAAACAAGTCCCCATCCTCAACCACAATCCTTATCGACGATAAAAGTTACCCTCCATCCTCGATACATAGCAAAGACAAGTTCTCCATTAGGGACCCAAATCCATTAAACTTTTTAATTATTTTCTTTTGTTGGAAAATATATTTGCTTAAAATAAAGGAAAAATTTCCAATCTCCATCCTCAACCTCACAGGGTTGGGGAAGTCGGGGTGAAAAAGCGACATTCTTAGGTGCAATAAAGATGAGTAATGTTCAACACACATAAGATATTGTAATTACCAAAACCACCTCTTATTATTACGATCATAAATAAAATAATTTTATATGAAAATAGATTACATACAAAATTACAAAAATGAAACAACTTCAACACATTTCTAATAATTATATATTCATTATATTAGATAAAAGTGAACGCAATAATCGAGAGTTATTAGCTAAAAATAGAAAACGAAAAAGAATAAATATATGTACTTTAGAAATGACAACTTAATTAACTATTATTTATCAAATAACAATTTAGTTAGTTGAACTTATATTACTTTCTCTATCGAAAACATTAATATAAACAGAAGTAACGTAGATGATTTTTTGGATAAATTTATTATAATTGTTATTTTTTATTGTGCATCATTACATTACTTTTGATATTTCCTCTATTTTTTATTTTTTTTGCCTATATCTCAATTTTCAGGGTTTCATTGCCCGTGCTACTATGCTAGTTCTATTTCTAATCTCTAATGTCATATTTGGTTGCAATGCGAATTTATTTGCATTGATGCAAAACGATGATAGTGCAAATGATTTTGGTGCAAGTTATGTTTTTTTTTTTTTTTTTTTTAATTTCAAAGTTTATTTTATTTTGTTTTGTTGTACAAATGAAGTAAAATAAGTCCTGAATAATAAAATAAACTAGAATTTGCATTCTCAAGCATTTATAGTAGAGCAAATAAAACTGCACTGCAACCAATCATAGGCTAAAAGATTTTACTTGATTGCACTGCAATTCTATTTGCACTAATACAAACACATGGGATTGTATATGAAAAGAATACGAATTCTGGTTTAATTTTATTTTGGGTTTTACACTTTTACTTTACTCCACCTCAGGTTTCTTTTTATTTCATTTGCTCAGCAATCAAACAAAATAAAGTAAAAGTTGAAACAAAAATAAGTAAAAAATTGCACACAAATTAATCGCATTACCACAAATTTACATCAGTGCAAATGTATTCAGGCCAAACCTTCTATTTGTGCTGTACATATTTGTACTTGTATTCTTCCCAAACCGAGTACTTCTCCGCGGACAGATCTTCCACAGTTCAAATGCCTCTCTCCAACCCCCGCTGAGGCGCTGAACATTTAAAAAGCTTTCAAACGCGCTCCTTTAACTTGTCTTGCGTGTCTATCTCCCATTGGACCACGTCACCTTTGATAATCTCCACTAACCTGAAAAAACTAACCGAATCATCACATACTCCTAATAGTATTGTAGATACTTCAACTCAACAATCTCGTCCGTCCGATCACAGATCTTGGACTTCTAGATCGAATACATAGTGGGCGTAGAAATACCGTATAGTGTATGCTTATACGTTACCGATTACCAAAACCGAGTTTTCTCTCTCTCATTCGTATCGCGTTGTTGCTATTTTTCCTCTTCTTCTCCGAGAAATGAAAACCCTATTATAGGTATTTGTTGTTTCTCTTTCCGTGTCCCTAGTTTTGCTTCGAATTCAGCTTTCATGGCGACGGCGGCGGGAGGGGCTTACGAAGGAGGAGCAGGTGGCAAATTCCGGAAGAGGCCGTTCCGAAGAGCGCCGACGACGCCTTACGACCGGCCGGCGACGGCTATCCGGAACCCTGTTGAAGCAAGGAGGAACGGGTGGATTTCGAAGCTTGTCGATCCAGCTTCGAGGATAATCACGAAAAGCGCCCAGTTGTTATTCTCGTCTGTGTTTCGCAAGGGTCTTCCTGCTCCGCCGCCCGGTACAGGTTCGATTCTCTATGCATTTGTCTAATCACTTGCTTCGCGTTGTTTGGCTCTTCTAGTTTTGCAAGTCATTGTGTTTTGAAGCTTGTCATTGGGGAGTTTTGGGGTTCTCGTGATTTTAGGGTTTTGGTGTTTTGTTTTAAGGCTTCTATAATTGGGCGATTGGGCACGGGAGATTTGGGTGAAATTCGTCGTCGTTGATGTTTGTTAGCAATCAAGTGAATATAATAATTGGCTTCTATGGAAAGGCGTCGCTTTTTCTTTTTTGCCAGAGATCGATTGGGAATGACGAAGTAGAGTTGGTGTCTGAAGTTGAAGTGGATGGTTTTTTCTGTTTTTGGAGTCTGAAGGCTGAAGCTGGAGAATTTTGTGGAATACATAGTAATGCAGACTTTGATTTTAAATTGGCAAAACTTCTAAAACGATTTTAATTTTTTATTTTTTTTATAGTCAACTTTAATTTGTTACCATTATTTTTAGTCAGGAAGAACTTTAAGTTTTGCAATATTTGGTTGCTTGTTGGGGTATGGCACAGTTGTTATTTTCAAATAATCACATTCTTTATTTTTAGAATATTTTAATTTCAATTATTTACTGGTAATGCCTTCCTTTGATAAGTTTTCTGTATCTCATTACTGTTTTTTCTTTTTCTTTTTTTTTTTATATTTTGATTTTGATTTGAGTTAACTCTGCCAAGTGTCAATTGAATTATGTTTTCTTCAACGCGCTCGAGGTGGGTATCATCTATGGGTTGCTTTACTGTTATTTTCTTTTGAGTCGGGACTGTTGTTTTACATTATTATTAATGTTGTTTCATATGAATTTTTAATGTGGACAGAGGTAAACAGAGAACTGAGGCTTGAGGCTCCTGAAGAATTGAGGAAGGAGACTCCTGAAGAATTGAGGAATGAGACTACTGAAGAATTGAGGAATGAGACTCCTGAAGAAATTGTAAGTCATAAGGTTTCTTATACTTTTTCTCTTGTGTCAATCATTACAGATGGGGCCATTCATGGTGTGTGTTCTGACTAGTGTTGCATGGTATCTTCTGAACGGATGTCACAAGAGAACTTCGAAACTCATTAAATTCTTGATGAACACTTTTGTGTGTTGTTTCTTTCTCTCATTGCATATTTGACATAAACAAATAATTATTTACACATTGAATGCCAATTTTCCTACAAAATGTCATTAATTAATAAAGACAATCTTATGAAAAATTTTCTATAGGTTTATAATGCTAAAATTGAACAAAATCTGTAGTATCTTAGTAGTTTCATTATTTTATCTTATTGAGTCACTCATGATCCTGCATCACTAGTTCTGAAATTTATTCTATAGTTTTATAATACTATACCTGAACAAAATCTCTAGTATCTTAATAGTTTATACTTGTTTATAGATATGTCTGCAAGTCATTTTTTTGGTCATGCCTCTGGTCACTCCTGGACATGCATCAAATTCTGATTCTTGTGTCCGTGTCCATGCAACAATGGTTCAGAAATATAGTTGTGGTTCTTTGGAAATTTAACATGTTCTTATTCTTTTTTGCAAAAAGACCTTATTTTGCATTAGATGTGCATGTGTCTGTCTGAGTGAATTTAATTGTTAGCTTTTTGTTCCAGACAAGTTGCATTTTCCCCTGATCTCAATTATGATGTACCTTCTGCTGCACTGGATTGTGTGTGTGTATATATATACATATATATATATATATATCTTTTTAATTCTTGTGATTTATCTAATATCACCTAATCTAAACCTTGATTGAATGCTGTATTTAGAGTCGGAATCTCATATCTATTTATGATCACTTTAATAACCTCATTATAAATAGTTTTTGGACATTGTGTTTGTTGTCATTGCAAATTATCTCAGCTCGAGAAATTAACATTTTCTAGTTCATGGTTTTAATTTTCTATTTCCAGGGAACTTGGTACATTAGTCATGATCTTACATATACGACAAAAGATCATTTTGTTGGTAATAAATAAAAAAGAACATTTTATTAGAAAAGAAGAGAAGATACAAGAAGGTGACAAGATATCACCCACAAATAATGGGAGAAAAACTCAAACACCCTAACACCACTACCAAGACCCAAAACCCTCAAGGGATTGAAAGCTCTCTGTTCTCATCTTCAACTTCAGACATGATCCTAACAACAACCAACTTCTGCTCAGACTCCACATTAGAACTTTCCATATTCAAAACAAACATCAATTCCAATTTGCTAAAGGTTTTTCTTGCAAAATCTTCCCCTCCTATAAAAGATAATCTCAACAATTTGCTTAGTTGGACTTCGGTTTCCACTATCTTTTCCAAATCCACATTTTTCTATTTTTCTCACTTGGAGTACAAAATCTGAGTTGGAGTTCTTCTCATTCGGTCTTTGTGCCTCGACTAGCTTTTTTTTTTTTTTTTTTGATAAAACATGCTTCAGCTAGCTTCAACTTTGACTTCCCCCTCTTTGGTTCAGTGATGTGTAGAAACCCTTGGTTATATTTGATGAGATACCAAGTAGCCATTACTTAATTACTTAAATAGTTATACACTATACTATATTATTGACAAATGAGTTACTTAAATAGTCTTAATTTATTTTTTGTTTAAACTTAAAATTTAAGATACAGTTAATAAAAAATATTAAGGAATAAAATAGTAGTCTAAAGGGGTGTATTAGTATTTATTTTATCACTTCACAAAATGTCATTGTATATTTCCACATATTTCGTAATATTTCCACCATGTTTATACATTTTACAATATTTCCATCTGACATTTCCGATAATAGTATTCACTTAATTTATTTATTTTTAGTTTAAGCTTAAAATTTAAGATACAGTTAATAAAAAGATTAAGGAATAAACTGATAGTATAAAAGGGTGTATTAATATTTATTTTATCATTTCACAAAATATCATTGTATATTTCCACATATTTCATAATATTTCCACCATGCTTATACATTTTTCAATGTTTCCATCTGACATTTCCAATATTTCTGACATATGTCCCGTTAGTTGGATGACATACGTTTCCATTGGCACTGACATTTTAAACCTTGGTAATGATGATTTGGTGGTGGTGATTTTTTTTGGGTGCAATTTGGATTTCTCTACCTGCAATCAAAAAGTGTTCCAAGGCATGTCATGTGCTAACATATGCAGGAATCTCCTGGCCGTTCTCTAATCATCACCATCTCCATCAATAAAGAGAGTTATATGGGAGAAGCATTGTTTGGGCATTTAGTGGCCTTATGGTGTAGGGTATTTTGTTTCTTACATGGGAACATTATATGGGTATTTTGTAGACCTTGGGTTGGCTGTCCCCTGGAACCCTTGTTTCCTCTTTTGCATTAGGTGGGGGATGTTCTGGAAGGGGGCCAAAATGATTATCAAATAATCGAAATGAGATTTGCACCTTTTGGGCTCCTGCAAATTGGACTTGATGGTTTCTGAGAGAGTTGATGGGCCTTTATTGCCTTAGAAGTTAGATCATGTTGCCCTATTGTATCTTTGGTGGGCTACTTTTGTGTTTGTTGTCCATAATTTTTAGCATACTTTTATAATCACCTTTTATATTTAAAAAGCTCCTTGCTTTTTATATCTCTATGAAAATATAATATGAAATAAAACATAAGATCATGAATCTTAAGTATTTAAGCACCTTGGCAATCTGGTAAATCATATTCATTTATTGATAGGAGTGGACTTACTCAAACTATGTCTTTTTTTTCCTTTCTCCCTTATATGATCTACACCAACATATATATAGGTATGTATGTTTCCTATTTTACTTGTAACTGTTAAATCGTAGCATTTTGTTGCTGTCTCTGTTTTATGCGGTTAGCGTTCCTGAAGTTTTAATATTATCTGCTGGTCATGTTGTATGTGAACCTTTTATTGCAGTATACTTCTGGTGCACAAGAACGTGTCCACGGTGAAGGTGATGTCACAAATAATTGTTCTGACGGTAATGGGATTAATGAGCTAGAGAAAATTCTGAAGCAGAAGACTTTTACCAGGCAAGTTTTGTGTTAATCAGATATTGCTAGTTGCCATATGACCAAATATGTAAACTGTATTTACTATTTACATTGATGCTACTCAACAGTGCTCATATACTGTATAGTCTGCATCACACCCTTTTGTTATTTGAGCTTAATGTTTTATTGCTCCTATTATGCCTTTGATTGTAAAATGTAATATCTATCATGGTAAATAACATTTTAATTCATATACAATAAATTTTATTTAAGGATCAAGGAAAATGAGAATAAAGTGATCATACACCCAAAGGATGCCTAAGAAGTGCCTTTGCTATGAAAGTATCTGATATTTATTATTTAAAGTTTTTGTATACAATGATTAAGGTGTTACAGTTAAATAGAGTTTTGAAAACCATAAGTCTGGATGATAGTGATATTGCTATGTTTTTGTGAAACAAAATTGATTTGCCAACTTGGTTTAATTGTTTTGAGTTTTCCAATCATGTGAAATGCTGAAGTCAGTCTAGTCAGATGTAAAGAAGCTATGTCCTCTTATGCCATGATTGTGCAACATTTGGACCATGATCGACCATTTTGATGAGTCTTGTTCCTCAAAAATACTTTGGGCTGAGAGCCCGAGACATGTCCTGACTCCTGATATATTAATCCTAGTTGAATACAGGTGTCTTATCTGTAATGCTATACTATATAATGTATGCTTATTGTTGTCTGGAACATAATATTTTGTAGGTTAGTCCATCAAATAGCTCAAAAGACTGCATGTTTGTTGTTTTTTCCTCACAAATGCTCTCCTATTCTGTTATACTTTTAAGTACTTTTTTGTTGTAATCTTAACAAGGCACTTGCATGGCATTTTAAATGATCTATAATTTCTAATATTACCTGCTTTATAATTCTACATGTAATGTACTTCCATTCCTGTGCAGAGATGAGATTGATCACTTAACAGAATTACTGCGGTCGAGGACTGTTGATATACCTGCAAGAGATGATAAAAGGCCTGAACCAAGTAAGTCACAGCTGGTACCAGTTCTTAACAGAGTGGAACCTGAATATATTCCAGGGCAAGCAGTTGGGGTGGAAAGCCATAGATTGGTCGGAAGCATTTCAGCTACTGCCGTCAGCTCAAGTATAGAAAAACAGGTTCATTTCCTCCTTTATTATACTTGCAGATTCTTTATGCTTTTATATATTTCTCATCAGAGAAGTTGCTTGCTACCAAATTTCTATTTTTGTATTTATTGGTTACTATTTTTTCTCAGATCCTTGAAGAGGATATTGCTTCACCAGCTGAACTCGCTAAAGCCTACATGGGTACTAGGCTTTCAAAAGTGTCCCCATTAGGCTTGCGTAGCCAAGCACTCAGGGGAGATGTGTCTTTGCTAAGTAATGGACCATTACCTCAGAAGTCACCCAAAATGTCACTTGCACCAAGGTCAGCTGTCCGCTTTGCTGGTGTTTCTGGGGCTTCGGAAAATTGCTATCTGACTCCAAGACCTCGAGGCAGATCTGCAATATACAGTATGGCTCGTACTCCATATTCAAGAGTTCATTCCACTGCTACCGTTAAGGTATATGCCATAGAATGTTTTGTCAAGTTCTTAATCTCTGAGAAAGCAAAATCTTATATTGCTCATCTTCCAGGCTACAGAGTCGATAATTGATGGGTATGCTGGCCCCTCAACATCATCTCAGTGGACATGGGAGAATGGAACACTTTCTAGTGGTAAACAGGTGGGAGTGGTAGTCCTGAGTCAATGGAAAAATCATTACATGCATACATACTTTTGGTTCAGTTTTTTTAATATGCAAGTGTATTCATTGTAATTGCCAATATGCAGGTCTCTAAACGAAGAATCTCAGTTTTAGACAATGATATTGGATCTGTTGGCCCTATACGTAGGATTCGTCAGAAGACTAATCTGATGGCACCTTCAAAAGGTCTGGGCTTATCAGTTCCTGGGAGTCCACTTTTGTTCGAAGAACCTAAACAAAATATTTCAAGCATGAAGCTTGCAGAAAATGGGGATAATAGTGTTCCCAGCACAAGTATACCATCTATCCCTTCCCAGTCCACTGAGATGGCTCGGAAAATATTGCAGCAGCTTGATAAGTTAGTACCTTCTCCTAAAGAAAAATCATCTGAGCTCAAGCTGGCTATTGCTAGGGAGAGATCACCTTCCAAGTTGATGCTTAGTATGCCACATGAACATGCTATAAGAAGTATGGATGAAGTGGATTCATCAAAGTTGCTGCCTAGTATACAAGGTACCACTGGTGGTGTTCAGCAAACTCTGGGCATTGATTCTAGTTGTCAAAAGCTTGACAAGGTTGAAGAAAATGTGCCAAAGAATATGGGAGACAAATTGGCTCCTAAAGCTAATGGTGCAGAAACTACAATGTTGATTAAAGGTGCTGTACCTGCTTTTAAGACTGCAGATTCGGTGACCTCCAACTTTACTTCAAATCCTCCACAAAAGAAACGGGCTTTCCAAATGAGTGCACATGAGGTCAGTATGAGTTTATTTGACATAGTTCAGCTAGACAATCTTGGATTTTTGAATGGTTGTGTTTCATTGAATTTGTCTTCTGTTTTCGTTTGGATTTTAATAAATTTTTCTGGATATCCTTACTTCTGTTATCCTATTTTATATTTTTAATTAGTGCATGGTGCGTATGAAAATGTAGCATTTTCATGCCTCCTACGATATGCATGGGTTGAACTTGAACACTAAGGGTTCTTAATAATCTGTCCTTCAGATTCTCCGTGATTAAATCATGGCCTTATCATGATAGAAATGCTTCTACTTCAGACTAATATGGTGAATGTTCTGGAAACTCCACTGACATAGATTTGTAGGTCCTTATCATTAAATGGGATCACTGCTGCACCTTGACATTGGAAATCCTATATCCAGGATTCCAAGGGCCCGTTTGGCTTACAGGAATAGGGGTCTGGAATCAGAATTGGAATGGGCCATTTCGGTTCCAACTGTTTAGTTGGACAGAATCAAAGTCCCATTCCCATTCCTGGTGGAATGACATTCCCCCATTTGAGGGAATGGCCATCTCCCTCCCTTGGGAATGAAATTCCATTCCTATTCCTGTGTCCTGTCTGAACCAAACAGACTATGGGAATAGACCATTCTGATTGATTTTGGTATGAAATATGTACTTGATGAGGAGGAGATAAGAGACGAATGGCGGTGGAAGAAAGTTTTAGGCTGGCGGGGGGGTGGAGAAAAGATCTGAGCATTGAAACGAAGAGATTCATCTTCGAGCAGGGATGAGCAAGGGGTAAAGAGTCCCTGAAAGTCAGGGAAGGTAGCAGGGCTACGATCCTTTTACCAAAAGAAGCCTGTTTCTGGCTGAAAGGCTTCGTAGATGGAACAGTTAACTCAATCAAGGCAGAAGGATGGAAAAATTCTTTCGGCTACTCCGGAAAAAGATACAAAGCGGTTCTGAAGAGGAATGAGAGAGGCTGGTTTTTCACAGTTTTAGAACACTTTGGCATTAATAAAAAGCAGATGATTTGCGTGCCTGAAGGTCTGAGGAAACAAGGGTGGGCCTCCTTTGCTGGTGGTCCTCAATCTTTCCTCTTGAAAGTTGAGAGTGAGGCAGCAGAAGAATCACCGAAGGGAAGTAACTCCTCCTCCCAGTGGTTACCTAATACCAACCTGGACCAGACCCCTGTCTGTCGAGAAGTAACGGTAGCAAGCTCAACCGTACGTCGGAGATTAACAGTTGAAGAAGGGAGGAAAAATTGGGAGCACAGAATGGTTCTAACGGTTGAAAGGGAAGTAAAGGACTGGACAAAAATCCTAGATGCAGTGGCACAAAAGTTAAAGTTGAAAGGTGATGCTATACTATTGCCTTTCTCTGAGAAGAAAGCTATCCTGGAAGTTGATGTTCAGAAGTGGAGCTTCAACACGATACAGATCGATGGCGGATTGGTACAGATACAAAAATGGCTCCCAATCTGTAGTGAAATCGAACCAGAAGAAGGTAGCTTTTGGATTAAGTTGCTAGGACTTCCTTTTCACCTCTGGAACGAAACAACTTTTGAAAAAGTAGCAAAAACCTTGGGTGGAGTAGTGTTGGAGATAAACCAGAGGAGCTTGCGAGCAGTGGAACTTAGAGTTGCAGGATTGAAACCAGAACAAGTGCCCCGTTCGATTGAGATATGCTTGGATGGTGCCTGGTACAAAGTTTGGATTGCCTCAGTAGTTGAGGCGTTGCTTTGGGGAAGACGAACAGCTGAAAAGGGAGATGCTGAGGTAGCCGGTTGGAGTACATGTGGCTTTCAGGGGCTGAAGAAGAAGACTGGTACAATGAAAATAGAAGGGGGACAGTCGCAGGAGGTTAACCAGTCCCAAAGCACTCCATTTAAAGCAATTAATTCAAATTTTTTTGAACTAAAGACTTTTGGCTATGGTCGACAGTCCTATGCTGATGTGGCAAGAAGGGGTTTGGGTTCGGATGGTAATAACCAGGGCTTACACTCTGAGCCGGTTCGAAGATTGGGCGAGCAGGATAGCATAAACACTCATAGAGGCACTTTAAGTTGTCACGTGGGTCGGGAAAGAAAGAGGGAGATGATAGATGAAAAATCCCATCTATCATCTTCCAAAATTGCACTGGCCGAATTGAAACAAAAGGAAAAATGCCGAACAGAGAGAGAAACTTGATCTCTGTGTTGGGTCCCTCGACTGGGTGTTGAGGAACAAGAAAGTAGGGCAGCAGATCGCCCTAATCTGCGCTATCTGAGGGATAAGAAAGAAGTGAGGAATGTAGAAGACCAAGGGTGGATAAGCTGTGGTTCAGATAGTGACTTTGAGGAGGCGAGTTCACATCTCAAGTTTTGGAAGCTTGGAAGATGAAGGATCTCAAGAGGACCATAACAAGGAGTCCCTAAACTTGGACCGCCTATTCCATGGAGATTTGGTGGGAGAACAAGAAGGGAATGAGGAGGCAGAGATGCACAACACAGAGGCTGAAAACAGAGAGACTCACAATCAAAGAGGTGGGGGGCAATTCTGGTGCCCAGAACTGGAAAAACCTCTCTCAAGCGCTAGTGCTGTATGGAAAACCGAGGTGTTAGCTTACGTTAACCCAGAACTGAGCAAGAATACATCACAGAATGGTAAACAATTGGGTAAGTGGAGCAGTCATTGTGGAAACAAAATAATGGGGAATATTTCCTTCCAAAACGAGGAGACAGAAGACTCCAATTTTGACACACAGAGAGCTTGACAACCATCTGTCCGCCTACAATCCCAATTCCCTTTGCCCAGCTGAACCCAGGTAACCCTGCTAACCCTGTTCATTTAGCTTTTGCTACTGATGCGGCTTCTGTTTCTCTTGTTCCAGATTTCATTCCCAGTCCAGTCTCAGAAGCCCATGAGAAGGAGGCCACACTGAGTCCTCAAGGAAAGAAGGGGGGAGAGGTGAGGATGGAGGGAACTTTAAGGGAGGAAAGAATATGGGGAATCATTAAGAGCATAATGGGTGAAATCGAGAAAAATGAGCTACAAAGGAGAGTTACAAATGGGTCTGAGTTGGTGTGCAATGAGGAGGAGGATGTTAGAATGGAGGAGAGGACTAGTTATGGAAAGAACAGAAATGAAAAAGGGAAGGAGACTAGGAATGATGGTTCGATAGCTGAATTTGTTGGAAAGCTGGGGTGTAAGATGAAGAATCTAAATGATCTAAAAGTTTCCCTAATAAAAAGAAAGGAGGAGAGCAAGATTAAGAAAAGAAAATTGAGTGAAGTGGAGAGATTAAAGAGAGATATCGAGGGGGATAATAAGTTTGGGGTGAGAGGGGATGGAAGGAAAGGATTCAAATAGATATTTGGTGGTTTTTTAGGGTTAAATTCTAAAGTTGAGATGAGAATTCTAAGCTGGAATGTGAGGGGATTGGGTAATGCAAGGAAKAGAGCAACTATCAAAGAAGTAATTAGGAAGTTCAATCCGGATGTGGTGTTAATCCATGAGTTCAAGAGAATGGACTTTGATAGTAGATGGGCAAGAAGTGTTTGGAGTTCTAAAGGGATAGGGTGGGTGGCTACTCCATCTTGGGGAGCCTCGGGTGGGATCATAACATTGTGGAAGGAAGATGTGGTGGTAGGTTTGGAAGAAATGATAGGGGATCATTCAATTTCTATGAAATTTAGGCAGGTGGAAGATGATTTTGAATGGGTACTAACAAATGTATATGGCCCCAATGACTATAGGAAGATGAAGAGGTTATGGGAAGAATTGAGTGATATTAGGGGCCTATGGGAAGGACCTTGGTGTGGGGGGGACTTTAATGTAGTAAGATTCATAGAGGAAACCAATAATCTCAGACAGAGAGTGACAACCAGCATGAGAAATTTCAATCAATTTGTGGATACTTTTGAGCTTAAGGAATTCCTGATCCAAAGCAATATCTACACTTAGTCCAACCTTCAATCTAATCCAATCTGCTCTAAGTTAGATAGATTCTTGTTCTCAACAGATTGGGAGGAGCATTGGGGGAACCTAAATTCTAGAGCACTCCCTAGACGCACTTCAGACCATTGGCTTATAGTGTTGTGTAAGGAGGACTTAGGAGGAGGTGGACCTGCTCCCTTTAGGTTTGAGAGTATGTGGTTGATCCATTCGGGATTCATAGAGAAGATCAAAGAATAGTGGGAACAACACAATCCATTAGTTGAATGGGAGGGGATGAGATTCCACAAAAAGATTCAATTCCTAAAATCTCAAATAAAGGAGTGGAACTATTTGGAATTTGGAAGAATGGAGGAAAGAAAGAAGATTTTAACAGAGCAAATTGAGGAACTGGATATTGTAGGAAGAGATAAGTTGGAGACAAAAGTCTAGATGTGAATGGTTAAAGGAGGGAGACAGAAATGCTAGATTTTTTCACTCTGTGGCAAACACTAGAAGAATATCATTTCTAAGCTAGAAGTTGATGGAGCTGTTCTTTCCCAACCAGCAGAAATAGTAGAGGCTTTTGCAACCCATTTTAAATCAATTTTTGAAAGGCCTCTAAATGAGAGGATTTGGGTGGAGGGGCTGGAATGTCCAACTCTTAGTTTAGAAACCAAAGTGGGGTTAGAGAAAAACTTTGACTTAGAGGAGATAAATGAAGCAATATTTTCAATGGATAGAACGAAAGCTCTAGGCCCGGATGGATTTACAATGGCATTTTATCAGGATTCTTGGGATATTGTGAAGGACCTAGTGTTGGTTTTTGAGGAGTTCCACAGGAGGGGAATCATTAATCCGGGTTTAAACTCCACATTAGTTGCATTGGTCCCTAAGAAGAAAGAGGCATCACATCCAAGGGATTTTAGGCCGATTAGTTTGGTGAATAGTCTGTACAAGATAATTGCAAAAGTCTTGTCTCTAAGAATTAAGAAAGTTCTTCTAGCCATTATCACACCCAATGAAGGAGCTTTTGTGAAGGGAAGGCAGATTTTGATCAAAATTTGATTGCAAATGAGAGCTTTGAGAATTTTAGGAAATCCAAGAAAAAGGGAGTGGTTTGCAAACTAGACTTAGAGAAGGCTTATGACCTGGTTGACTGGTCCTTCTTGGTGGAGGTAATGAAAAGTTTTGGTTTTGGAGACAAATGGTGTAGATGGATCTGGGGTTGTATCAGGAGTTGCCATTACTCGATATTGGTGAATGGAACTGCGGTGGATTTCTTTTCGACCATGAGAGGAATAAGACAAGGTGATCCACTCTCCCCCTTTCTCTTTACTTTGATTGCAGATGTCCTGGGGAGACTGATACATAGATCCGATTCTAGAGACTTAATAAGAGGTTGGAGAGTCGGAAGGGGGGAAGTACCACTTACACACTTGCAGTTTGCAGATGACACAACCCTATTTTGTGAGGGTGGGGATATAAGATGGATCAGAAACCTAAAGCTGACAATACAACTCTTTGAGCAGATGTCTAATCTTAAATTGAACTTTGATAAGAGTTGTGTGGTGGGAGTGAATTTGGAGGAAAGGAAAGTAAGTGATTGTGCATGTGTGTTAGGGTGTGCTATTTCGGAGTGGCCTATCACTTATTTGGGCCTCCCCCTAGGAGATAACCCCAAGAATGAAAGCTTTTGGAACCCGGTAGTAGAGAGATTTGAGAAAAGGCTTGCTTTTTGGAGGAAAAAATATCTTTCTCTTGGGGGGAGAATCACCATGATTAGGTCTACCCTTTCCAACCTTCCTATTTACTTCATGTTAATGTTTAAGATTCCTACAAAGGTCTCCAACAGGATAGAAAAATTAATGAGGGATTTTTTATGGGAGCCAAGAATGGAAAAGAAAGACCATAGGGTGAGGTGGGAAGTGGTAAATAGGAGCAAGAAGCTAGGGGGGCTTGGGATTGGGAGTATTAGGAAAAGGAACATGGCATTATTGGGGAAATGGTTGTGGAGATTCCCGTTGGAAAGGGACAAATTGTGGACGAAGATTGTGGCTAGTATACATGGGTTGGATGAGAATGACTAGGATCCTGGAATTTTGGCAAGGACTACTGCCACATCCCCGTGGAAAGCCATTCATGATCTACTTCCAGTTTTCTCCCCTTGGATCAGGTACGATTTGAACTCCGGTAATCGAATAAAATTTTGGGAGCAAATTTGGGTTGGGGACCTACCCTTAAAAGACAAATTTCCATCATTGTTTGCTTTGTCAGATTTGAAAAATGAACCCATTTCCTCCTTGGTTCATTCTGATTCTTTTTCCGGGTTTGGGTGGAATTTGGGGTTGAGAAGGGCAATAAGGGATACAGATTTGGGGTGTATGCCATCTTTGCTAACCATCCTTGAAAATGTTTTCCTGAACCCTAGTATGGGAGACACCAGAATCTGGACCCCTTCTTCATTTGGCTCTTTCTCTTGTGCTTCGTTTTTTGAGACATTAGTCCAACCTACTACTCCGCTTGGGCTGTCATTCTCGGTTAAAGAGATTTGGAGCAAACCCATTCCTCCTTGGGTTGGTAGTTTTTGTTGGGAAATTTTCCTGGAAAGAGTCAACACAAATGACTTGCTTCAAAGAAAGAGGCCCAACTGCTGTTTACTTCCCAATAGGTGTATTCTTTGCAAAGCTGATGGGGAAATGGGCTTATCATATTATGGTTACTTGTCCAGTTACTAAGACTGTTTGGGAGTGGGTGTTATACTTGGAATCCCCCCGTGAGTGTGCAATGCTTGTTCTCTCCTTTCTTTAGTTGGCCTAAGAGAAGGGGGAAGATTATGTGGAGAAGCATCAGGGTTGTAGTGTGTTGGTCAATATGGGAAGAAAGAAATTCACAAATTTTTTCAGATAAGGAAAGAACCACAAAAAACCTAACAGATTTGATGCTTTCAAGGGTTGCTCATTGGCTGAAATCAATGGAGATATTCTCTGAATTCACTATGGCAGACATGCTGAGAAAGTGGAAAGAGGTTGCTACTGCTGTTATGTATAAAAGGAACTGTAGTCCCACTTGGACCCCCCTCCTGCCGGATTCATAAAACTGAATTTTGATGGGATGTAGCTTAAGGAATCCAGGGCCCTCTGGGATAGGGGGTGTTTTCAGGAATGAGGAGGGGTATATTACTGCCATATTCTCTGGGCCAATTGGAGAGGGTGACTCTCTTGGAGCCGAAATTCTAGCAGTTCTTGAAGGAATCCAAAGAGCAAGAGAATTAAGCGTTAGATGCTTAGTGATTGAGGGGGACTCGAAGGTGGTGATTAGGTGGCTGAAAGGATATCAGTGGCTTGTGGAGCTACAGCAATGAGAAGAAACATTTAATTGGCTGTGTAAGGGCTTAGAGGTGCAATACAGCTGGGTGAAGAGAAGTGCTAACTCAATGGCTGATGGGTTAGCTAAGCAAGGGGTGGCTAAGGATTCTTTGTTTTGGGCACATTTTTAGTATTTTGTTGCCATTTTGATGTTGGGGAGTTAAGATAGTTTACCTCCCCATTTTCTGTAATTAATTTTCACAAGTATTATTCATTAATAAAGATTTCTGTTATCGATAAAAAAATGACCATTCTGATTCCAATGGATTTTGATTTCGATTCCAATTTCGACTGTAAACCAAATGGACCCTAAACCCCTTTTATGTTTTTCATGCACATTGTGGAGGGATGCTGGAGGTGGGTGGATAAAATAAGGACCAGCATAATCTCTTTTGAAGACCCTAAGTTTCTGTTTCTTTTTTCCACTTATTCCATTTCTTGTTATCAAGAGGTGTCCTTGTAACAATTTTTTTTTCATTAGTTAATTCACTTTTTTAATTTATTAATGTTTTCACTCTCATTTTGAAGGATTTTGTGGAGATGGATGAAAATAGCCGCGGAGTTTGCAGTACAGCTACACTATTGGCTTCTGGAAAAGGTAAATTGGACACATCTGTCATGGAGAATATAACCACGTCTTCTGAAGCAGGAGCTACAGAGAAGTCTCCAGTTTCTTCTGCTGAAACCAAACTCCCAAATTCTGAAGCCAAGTCCTCTGTAGGTTTCATATTCAACAAAATTACTGATATAGTAGCTTCTGAAGGATCAACACTTGCAGAAAAGAAGTCTTCTCCCAGCACAATTACTCAGCCAGCTAAACCCGCTCCTCAGTTGCTGCCAGTATTTAGTAACATAGCTCCACCAAAAGAACCAATTAGTACTCCAATTTTCAGCTTTGGCTCTAAAAGTGTTGAGAAGCCCTTTACCATAGCGCCTTCTAGCTTTAATGAATCATCAGGCCCTAAATTTGGTGCTGAGCCAGGCTCAAAGCTAGAGAATTTTGGCAGGTTAGTTTTCATCCTTACAGTTCCTTTATGAGTTAACAGAATGGCTTTATAATTCCACCCCTCAGTGTTACATGGGCTCTCTTAAATGGATGTGATGTCTGGGGATTAGGCTCTGATATTCCATTGATTCTTGAAGGCACTTCTATATAACTTTATTCGACTGTTTCATTGCTTATTCAACGATGAATGCCATCTTTCAACTTTTTTTTTTTCCTAAGGTTATTTATAATGTGAATGCTTAATAAAATATGGACTATTTTTCCATGCTTTTCATAGATTTGTTCATGAGTCCTAGTTTCTTCATCTTGCTAAGTCAGACTCCAGGACACATGTCAGATTCTGATTGCAGTGTCTGTATCCACGTAAAACTGGCCTCTTCTTTTTCCTGAAAAGAATATTTCAAAGAAAATAAACAGTTTACTGATAACCTGGATTGTTTTATTATGCCACCAACGTTGAGTCACCTAATCTATATTTACTTGGGCAAGTTTTGGTTGTAATGTGTTTTGGGAGAGGGAAAGAAAATGCTTAAGGGCATCTAGAACAGTTAAATAGATTATTAGAAAAGCAAACACAAGTTTTCAAGTTTTCTTCATGATCCAAATATTTAGAAAGCATGGCTATGGAAAAGGAAGGTTATCCAGACAACTCAGTATCTGGTATGATCTTTACTTCTACCAACCCACACACTACTTCTTACTGCCACTACTAGTATTCTAGATCCCCGTTTGGTGTTAAAATAATCTTTAGTGTTTTCCAAATAAAGGATGAAGGGTTAATCTCTAGGGAAAATGTTTCTGGCAATTACAGCTAATCTTAACTTCCCATATATTGATACCCAAAAAAAAAATTCCCATGTAATGGTGAAATGCTTAATGAATTTTAAGCATTCAAAGTGATTCTGGATTATGAAGTCATTCACATATTAGGAGTCTGCATTTGATGTTGGAATCCTTGGATTGATATTACATAATGATGTAAGTTAAAGCAAAATGCTTAACATATGCAATCATGCATGGATGATATCAAAAAAGAACCATTAGGATCTTAAACTTTTGTATTTAATCATCCCCTGTATGTTCCTGTTCAAGAAAATGAAAGAGAGATTCTTTGTGAAGTAATGATGTCAGAATCTTCATGACATCACCATAAGTTGCTTTGCTTTGTTTTTTTACTGTAAATTTAATATTGGAAACAATCTTAAAATTTTTTGTTAACATTCTCCCTTTGTGCTATTGATTAGTCCTGCCACCGTCACTTCTACAACAACAGAAACTGTGTCAAAAACTGGAGAGTCAGATAAATCTGATAATGGTCAGAAAGCTGTAGATTCATTCAGAAAACCTGAACATTTCATTTCTTCTGGTCTGTCAACTTCAACTCCTCCAAGCATTTTGTCTTGTGGTGCCTCTAATAACCGTTCAGGACTAAGCAATGGGTCCCTTGCCACAACCGCTTCTATTTTCTCAGCTCCTGCTGCTAGCTCTGCCAACCAGATTTTTTCCACCAGCTCTACATCTATTACTGCCACTACCACCATTACAACTATTCCTGCGACTATTGCCAGCAGTCCATCTACCTCGGCATCAGCTCCTTCATTTCCTGTGGCACCCATATTCCAGCTTGGATCCAGCAAATCTGCAACAGTTACATCAAATTCGGTTTCAGCACCAACAATGTCTGGTGCAGAGTCTACAGATTTGGAGCCAAGGTCCAAGCAGGCTTCACCATTTGGAAGCATAGGCTCTTCTTTTGGCACATCATCTTCATTTGCAGGTAGCAGCAGCGGTGTTTTTACGTTTGGTGCTTCAGCCACTGCTAATACTACAAATGCTGCTTCGTCTTCCTCTAACCAGTCTCAGAGCTCTAATCTTTTCAGTGCTGGCACTGGATCACAGTTTGGTGCTCAGGTAGCTTCTGCGGGAACTGGGCTTTCACCTTTCACACAGAGTATGCCAAGTCAGTTTGGGTCATCTGCCTCATCTCCGACGTTTGGGTTGAGTGGGTCTTCTGCTTTCAGTTCTGGAAGTTCTTTGTTTGGTTCAACTCCTTCTAAACTTTTTGGTTCAAGTCCTGCCTTTGGACAGGGTACATCAACTACCTTCTCTACTGGTGCTAATTCTTTTAGTTCTAGTAGCAGTGCTACCAGTATATTTGGTTCCAGTTCACAGGCAGCTACATCATCAGTATTCGGTTCTGCCTTTGGTACCGCATCTTCTCCAGCAACGGGATTTTCTTTTGGAGCATCCTCAACTGCTTCTGCTGCTGCTACTGGGAGCACACCAATGGCATTTGGCTCATCTATTGGTTCCTCATCAGGATCTATTTTTTCATTCACTTCGGCTTCTGCATCTACTTCAGCCTCGCTCACCCCATCACGCCCTTTGTTTGGGGTCCCAAATCCATCAGGCACGTTTGGTACAGCCTCCCCAGGTAATGATCAGATGAACGTGGAGGATAGTATGGCTGAAGATACAGTACAAGCACCTCTACCGGCAGTTCCAACATTTTCCCAACAAGCTACTACCCCACCTAGTTTCACATTTGGTTCTCCAGCTTCGGCAAGCACACCTAATATTTTTCAGTTCAGCACGCAACAGAGTTCAGTAGCTCCACAGACTACATCTCCATTTCAGGGGTCTGGTAATCTCGAGTTCACTGGAGGAAGTTTCTCATTGGGCACTGGGGGTGGTGACAAACCTAATCGGAAATTCATTAAAGTCAAACGAGACAAACAACGGAAAAGGTAGTATCCACTGGTTTTTATCTGCCTAGGTGGTCTGAACTAATGGCAATGACGGGTCAATTATAGTTAGAGATGCTGCACGCATGCATTTTCTTTTATTAGATTTCCTGGTAAATTGGCCTATTTTGTACTGGAAATCTGGTAGCCCGTTTACGTCTTCATCCTCCACCCCCTCTTTTTTGCAGTTTATTCTTGCCATGCAAGTCAAAAAATGTTCCAATTTTGGTTTAGTCGAGATCAAAGAACTTGAGCATCGATCTCAGTTTCCTTCAGAAGCTGTCATTTTGTACTTTGGTCTGTGTAACATAGAAGAAAAGGCTATGTATTGATTAAAGACACTTCTCAGCCAGTGCCCCATGTATCTCCTTGCCAATCTTTAATGATGAAAGCAAGCAAATCAGCTGTAGCAGGAATACTTGATATACTTTTCGGGGTCAAATTTAGCAAAGCAGTTACCCAATGGCTTTATATTGTGGCCTCTGAAAGCTGAAGGCTAGACAACTAATTCTGCAGATCATGGTTGCTTCAATTGAATTCACTCTCTTCACATTTTTTGTTTTTCAACTTTATATGAGAGCTGCAAAATATTGTTATTGCGATAAGATTGGAATCCGATCATGCCACAGAAGCCGATGGGAAAAAAAATTAATTCGGTGTCTACAAGGCGCTTTACTTGGAAGGATTTGAAGCTGTTTTTAAGGTGACTTGTCCTGTGTGGGGGCATAGGGCAAATGTCATTTGAAGGATTTTGGTGGTGAATGGGGATTGGGGAATGCATTGAATGGTTCGCGTAATGTGATTTGGGAGAAGAATTGAATACTACATTTCCCAAATGTCCTGTGTGGGTGCAGAGGGCAAGTCCAATGGTCATTTGAAGGATTTCGGTGGTGAATGGGGAAGGGATTGAATGTTTCGCGTAATGTGATTTGGGAGAAGAGATTGAATATGCTCTAGTTGCCATTCCTGGTTAACTATGATGTCTTCCAACTATATCTACTTGGACATTTGGTAATGGGCCAGGTAAGTGAAAGGTTTGGAGAGCTTCGTTAAGTGCCAGTCCATACCTTGGTCTGCTTACTAGGGGTGTCAATGGACCAGGTTTGGGTTGGACCCCATCAAATCAAAACCATTTTGAATGGGTTGGATGGTCTATGACATTGAATTGGACCACTCCAGACTTGAAGGTCCAAAGTATTTATTCAGTTGGATTGGACTTGATCCATCTGTAATGGATTTATATTGGATTGGGTCGGGTTGAACCAATATCTAGTCTATTGACAGAAGATAAGAATAGGGGTGTTAATTCCCTAATCTGTGTAGGTGTTTTTTTGGCAACTTGGTTACTGGGGCATTATATAAACTTGATAAGTGCTTCCCAGGTAACCCTTTTTTACACGTGTTCTTTTATCATAAAATTACTTGGGTAAGGTAGGACTGTAGGAGATTGCATAAAATTACTTGGGTAAGGTAGGAGATTGGGCAATATTGACCGTTACATATTTTAGCAGATTTCCTCTTTATGTGGGAAACTTCACTTACCCAAATAGGAGATGGGTATCACTTAACCAAGGCAAATGTGCTTACCTATGAGCAAGGTTCAAAGTATTGTTACGTATTGGCCCGTATCGGCCGATACGTATCATTCTGGGACCCTTCCGATACGCCCCTACAGTGGGTGTATTGGGGGTCTGACTGGTTCAGGGGATGGAGGGGTCCTAGACCGGCACCCTTGAACCAATTTTGAAAAAAAAAATAAAAAAAAGTAAAAAAATGCCCGATATGCCCGCATATCGATATTTTGAACCTTGCGTATGAGATTGGGCAATATCCCATACTTGTCTTACTTGTCACGATTCCGACAGAGATAAAAACTTGTGAGGTGGGGGAATTTCAAATTTCCCCTACTTCTGTCTCTATGAAATGGGTGTCAACTCATCAAGGGATAGGGTGTGGACTCGTTTGGGAAATGTAGTATTTTTAAAGGTGAAAGGGAATGGGTGGTTAGGTTTAGGTGTGTAAAAGATGTGTAAAGAGGGGAACGGGATCAGTTCCTCACACATGGGCGTCTCACAGGCACACCCACCATGCATTGGAAACATCTCCCGTGAATAATAATTTATAAGTATGGGAGATGTTTCCAATGCATGGTAGGATGTGCGTGTAAGGTCGGTGTGAAGCATTCTGAGTGAGGAGAAGATCCGGTCTCGTAAAGAGGTAAAAAATTGGGTGCTTATAGTTCTCTATTTAGTATTTGCCAAGTGCCTGTTTGGGAAGGTTTATATTTTTATTGTTGTCTCTCGTTATTGCAAATCAATCTTGAGTTAGGTCGCCGTCATCAGAAACCCCTCAGAATTCTGCTTCCCCCAACCTTGAAGGTAGAAAGACCAAAGTCGGAGTTTAGGTAGATGGTCAACTATCGAGGCACATATGTATTGATGTTGGTTTTGCAGGCTCCATGGCAACTGAGTGGAAAAGACAAACAAAGTGGGTGTGTGCTTTTCGGGTTTGGGTCTAAGTGGGGCTGTTTAGTTCCATTGCCATTTATTTAATAAGCTTTTTGTACGACGATCATCTTGAAAAATGAAACCATTAAGCATCACATAAGCTGAATAGTGAAAAAATTCATTGATGTTGTGGGAAACATTAAAAAGGAAGTTTCTCCCAAAAGATGCCTCTCACACAAACCGAGACAAATGCCACATAATGCATTTCACTAGAGAGGGTGATAAGGTGGCACCTAGAAGTGTTTAACCAAAAGGAAGAGTAGGAATGGTGGTCTAACTATTGAAGATAGTGACAAACTAATTCAATAACACATAAATGGGACGCATTATGTAAAAATTAAACATACAAGGGTTAAAAAGAATGGATTTTAGGGCAATTAAAGGAGATATTGGGAAGACAGAATAAAGATAAAAAGTAAGAGGAACAGGGAGGGAAGGGAACATAAAAGAAAAGAGTGGGGAATTGGATCGGAAGAGATAGTGATAAAGATAGAAGAGGAAAGAAAGGCAAAGATAGGTTAAAAAGGAAAGGAGCTTTATTGGGAACGATAAATAACTCTAAAAGAAAATGGGTCTCACTAGGAAAAGAAGGTATTAGATCTTGTTCAGGACACTCAATTGAATAATGTATGCATTGGTTTTATGTTTTTACTTAGGTGAATGAGTGTAGGCTCGGATGGTTGTATGCCTAGTGTAAATATACCCTTGAGTGTATATAAAGTTTAAATACACAAGTATAAATGGCATAAATACACTATACATGGATACATGGGTTTCATATGTTTTAGTTTGGTGGATGGGCTCATCAACTCAAGCTGGGGCAAGTTTCCAGTCCTAGGCCCAGACTAGAGCTCAGAAGTTCACATCCAATTGTTGCAAACCCTAGGGTTGGGCCCATCAAAGTTTTGGGTATAGGCTGTTAGGGATGAAAATGGTAAAATCGAGATAGAATCCCCTGAGAGCAAAAACTTTAAATACACCCTGAAATTAAAATCACTTGTGCATTCAAGATGACTTGAATCTTACATATATGTACGGGAGATATTCCTGATGTGCAGCTGAATTCTATATGCACGAAGCTTTTGATTTCAAGAGATCCGGTGGGTTCTTTACCTCCTTCATGTTAAAACTGTTGGCTGATTTGTTTGATATGAGGTTGGCCAATTGGTTTCTTCACGATGAATTGGGTGTGTGTAGGGATGTCAATAGGTTGAGTTAAATGATAAACCAACCTAAGAGCTTAGATCTCCTACCCACAAGAATTCTACCAATACCTACCCATAGGACATTACAGCTGTACATTGAGAATATTTTCCGTATTTACATGTTATCATTCACGGGGAGATGTTCTCAATGTACAACTGTAGTATCCTGTGGGTAAGTATGGGCAAGGTTCAAAGTATCGACACGTATCGGTCGATACGTATCATTCTGGGACTCCTCCGATACGCCCCTATAGTGGGTGTATTGGGGGTCTGACTGGTTTAGGGTGTGGAGGAGACCTAAAACGCCCCCCCTAAACCTGTTTCAAAAAAAAAAAAAACGTAAAAAAATGTATCAATTCGCCCGATACGCCCATACCAACGTATTGGTATTTTGAACCTTGGGTATGGGTAGGGTTCTTGTGGGTAGAAAATCCGGATTCAGATTGAGATTGTGTTCACGAATTGGGCTGGTAGGTTTCTCTATCAATGAGTCCTTGCCACATGCCTTTTCATGTGAAAAACATTTATTTTTTAAATTAAAACCGTAAGGCTCAAGTTTGGAAGGAATATACATACAAATATGTGGGGTGCAAAATTATATATTTTGTATATATTTGTATTGTACATATTTGTGTTTGTAATCCCTCCAAACTGAGCCTTTATTTTGTATATAAAGTGCAAAACCTACATAAAAATATTAGAATGTAAAACCTTATATTTTGTACGTATTTGTACTGTACATATTTGCATTTGTACTCTTTTCAAATTGAGCCTAACTATCAGGCTAGCTATGTCATGAAGAAAAGTCCACATATATACGACCCTTTAATCTTTTAGTATGAAACCATTCTTAGGGCCCAACAGGGCTCTACTTGTTTTATCCATGCTGCTCTAAATATGCTTCAGGCAAAAACTTAATCCGCGTGTCCAAAGTGAGCATTTTTGGAGGAATTATTTGGGTTAAAAAGTTAAAATTGCAATCTTATCTAAAAGCAATCTCTGATAAATCATGCCATATCCATTGGTTAAGTGGAAAACATGATCAACCCTAAGTTCTCTTATCAAGAGTTTGAATTGACCACATTATTTTTCCATTTCCTGGAGCCCTATAAAGCAGCCATTTTACTTGGTGTAATGATGAAATCTAGGGTTAATTAGCATGAGACTGGATGGGCTGGAGACAAAATTATGCGGGCTGAGCAATTTATCATGAGTGAATACGTTAGTGTTATGTACATGTAGGGCCTATATGAGATTCACATCTTAAGCATATGGAATATTAACATAGGTTATGTTTGATACCATTGTCATTTTTACTTGTAATATTTTAGGTTGGTCACTACAAAATTTATGAGAATATATATTTATCATAAATGCTTTGACTTATCAATATAACATTGAACATTATTGTTACTTCTTTTAGAAACATGTCAAATCTTATGTTTCTATTATAAATGTCAACACTTAATCCGATGCCTATAATTTTTTAGTGAAAATGATTATCTGATATGACATGATAAGACAATTTCTCAAAAAATTGTATTGATCAACACAAAACTAAGTAGAAGTGTCAATGATATCAAGCACAATCATATTCACTCATGATAGATTGCCCAGCCCTTTGTGTATGATTTTGTTTCCGGTCAATGTAGACCAAACTAACACCAAAATGTGAATTTGAGTCTAAAAACGGTCATTTTGTGAAAACAAAAACCCAAAGTTTGAACTGCATCTGCTCTCCCCCTCGCAAGACCCCAGATAACTAGGATCGAAATTTGAAAATGGGTGTTGGGATCTGCTGCAAATGCGTATAAAATGGGCTACAGTGTTTCATATACATGAAACCCACATAGCCAGTGC